CGTGAGCTTTGAATTGGAACCCCCAGCCCATGATTGGACAAGACTGGCTCTTGGTGAACATGGATCTGGCTGAGATGCCTTGAATCCATGGACTTTTGATATCCGCCCCTCAATCTAGTCGCGCCACGGAGAAGGCCAGGTTCCATATTGAATTTCGTCACCCGAACGCATGCCTGAGCTCCAGGTGTTGCTGGTGAAACGCAGATTTGAGAGTTGCGTTTATTTTGTGGAACGCACCCCTGAGGGTTGCGTTCATTTTGTGGAATGCGCCCCTGAGGGTTGCGTTCAGTCTTCTTCACACAGAGCCTATGTTTGGGCTCATAGACGCGAGACTTGCATTCTGAAACAGAAACGCAGGGCATAGGGTCGCGTTTAGGCTCACAAACACGAAGCTCATGTTGACTTGAGGATCGGCATTCTCGGAGATGTGCTCGTCGTAAGGATCTCCTCCTCCATCGAGCGACGTTCTTCTTAGTCTGCTTCAAGGCCTTGGCAGCAACACCTTCAACTCGGTGGACGAGTTTGGCCGAAGCTGAGCCCACTCCATCGGGGGAGGGGCTGTCCGAGCAATCTTCCTTAGGCGGTTCGGCTGTAATTGGAGCAGTTGGAGCTTTAGTCTCTTTGAAGACTTTGTGGATCTTACGCATAGCCTTGGGGCTAAGGGATCCGGAGTAGAGGACTTCCTCATACTTGGCTTGATCGAACTCTATGACGAGAGTTTCAACCGTGGTTCCAGTGAGATGAACATCGGATTGCGCCACCACTTCTTCCTCAGAGAAGCTCTTCCCCAGCGGAGTCGCCATCTTTTGTTTGGTGGAAAATTTGCAGTAAAAGAAACGAAGAAAAATTGTTTGTATCCTTTAATCTTCAGTTTACAAATTTGGATTCTCCTGATTACAAAAGAAGAAGAAAATGATCTGGATTCTTTCCCCTTTGTTTTAATTCTGGGTCTCTTCACCTGGTGGCGATCCTGAGATGCCTCCCTCGACATGCTCGCGTACGAGTTTTGGCTTCTCGTTGACGATCCGACGTCTTGTTTCATGGGGAACATGATCTTCCATCCCACGATTGACGTTGTGGAGATACTCTGAACGAGTTTTGAAACTCTTGATGAGTTGATAATACTGATCGAGTTTAAAACTCTTGAAAGATTGATGGAACGAGGAACCGGTTGCTCATGCTAATGGCCGAAGGCTTCAAGGAAATGCTCTCAAGGATGAATGTCGATCTTCGTCCCTTTGCTGCCAAGAGCTTCTACCGATCCGCACCCGGCCTTGGGCAAAAAGATCCAGCCAAAAGATTCCCCCCCCCAAACTAAGTTGATTTCTTATGTTTATGTTATAGGGATATATAGGGTTGTAGTAACCAACCTCCTTAATTCGCTCCTAAGTGGGGCTAATGGGATGTAACCGCCCCTAAAATCACTCCTGAGTGGAGTTAATGCATCCCCTAAGATCGTGTGGAAACGGTTTTGGAACGTTCGCAGCTCGTGTTTGAACGATGTCAAACGCAGATCGCGTTCTGGCATGACTATTGCTGTGTCTGACACGCAACACTCTGGCAGTGTGCGTTCTGCAGCGCTGGGTGGTAAAACGAATCGAAATCGATCGAATACTAAGATGTTCGTAAATTTTGTATTTGTTTTAAAAATTATCGAATTCGAATGCTGGACTCTAAATTCATATATCTAGTTTTTCGAATTCGAACTCGAATACTTGGTAATTTGATAAATATTCATCGAATATTCACGAATATTTATCGAATATCAAAGTATATTTATTCCGCCTAAAAGAATTTGATTTTCAAATAGTTATTTGAATTCATAAAATAAAATTTATTCCTTTATAATATATGATGTATATTATATTTAAATCAAAATTTTAATTAGAAAACAGATTTAAGATTATTTAAGTCTTAAAATCCAGGATATAAGCTCAAGTAGAAATGGTATGTAGGTTAAAAATATGACATCATATTGTGCAATAATACAAGTAATATGATGTGATCAAATTTCAAACGAATATTTAATAGACAAACGAATCGAATAACACATCTGGTTAAATTCTATTCGTTAGTAAAACTCGAATACTAAAAATATTTTGTTTAGTGGTAAATGAACTACCGAAATCGAATATGACCAATACTTTTTCGAACAATTATCGGAACTATTTGTTAATTATTTGGTTCATTTCACCCCTATCTGCAGCGATATTGAGCTGCGTTCTTCTCTGTTTGAAGTGCGTTTGGCCAGCAGTATAGAACTGCGTTCGAAGTCAGCTGGAGCTGGTCTTGGCAGGCGGTTGAAGCTGCGTTCAGCTTGCTGATCTGAGCTGCGTTCAGCTGCTGATCTGAGCCGGCGTTCAGAGCTGATTTGAGTCTGGCGTCCAGAAGGCTGATTTGAGTTGCGTTCAGAGCTGATTTGAGTTGCGTTCAAGAGTTGCGTTAGGCAGGGATTGGAGCTGAGCGTTTGAGCTGTGCTTTGGCAGCGATTGGAGCTGCGTTTGAGCTGTGCTTGGCAGCGATTGGAGCTGCGTTTGAGCTGCGTTCCGTGGCTATGAACACGCGGCGCATATTGATGCTGGTGTGCGGGGAGGACTTTCAGGCTTGATTTGAAGAGACCATTGATTTGTAGTCTCTTTCTGTCGAAGCGTTGCAAAGATCA